CCGTTGGATTTGCTTGACTGATCTTTACAGGAGCTAATTGCCAGGCCTTTCCTCTGCGGTGCAAAAACGTCTACAAAGAAGGAGGAACTCATGGCCTTCAAGTTGATGCCTACCTGAAGTGACCCTATAATGTACAACTCCACCCTAGGGATTCTGAGGCTGCAAATCTTCCTTTGAGAAGCAGACTGCCTCATCTTTCTCCCTCAGAGAGGCTGGTGGGTTTGAACCCCCAGTCTTGTAGCTAGCAGTCCATTTTACCTGGGCTACTTCAGGTATAAAAACTAAACCCACTGCCACTGAGTCAATTCTGACTCACAGTGAAGTTATAGGACAGGGTAAAACTGCCCCTGTGGGATTCCAAGATCGTAACTCTCATGGGAGTACAAAGCCTTGTCTTACTCCTGAGGAGCAGACCGTGGTTTCGAACTGCTGACCTTGGGGTTAGCAGCCCAACTCGGAATCACTAAGGTATAAAGAAAACTCAGTATCATCAAGTACTCCTCCCAGATTCTTATTGGCCATACCTTTGCCATAAGGAAACAATCTGCGAACACACATTAAAAGAAAGACCTTACCTGCTGGTAAGGAATGGTGTCAACTGCCAACCTGAAACCCATTTGTTATGGCTCCAGGCCCATTTTGTTCTCCCCCCCCCACCCCCACCCCCACCCCCTGACTGCCCTGAAGCTCAGAGTTGAAAACATTCATTCATCCAAAGCTCTTTTGGTGATTAATTACTTTCTCTTGAACCAATGAGCCTGTCTTCATGTATCTATTTTTATTGTAGGCTGCATCAAATCCCTCAGAGAAAAGGAAGTATGAATCAAAAAGAAGGTTTTGCAAAGCACTTGAAGCAGCAGAGGTATTATTTGAAAACAAGCTGTTGAGCTCTTCAGCTTTAGAAATGTGCTGTAGCCCGCTCTAAGTATTTAGATAACAACTTACCTGGCAAAGCCCACAAATTGAATGGCATTTAGTATTTGACATAGCTGTGCTGTTCTTTGTTCACACATTCCAATTCCATTTTGTTATAGAAGGCTTTAGGGAAATCCTTAGAGAACCGGGAGATTTTAACATCACCCTGTGATAATACTGCCAATTTATTGGATGACTTTCAACATGCAAGAATGTATGCTCTGTCCCCAAAACAATAGCATCTACATTGCAGTAGAAGAAAACGAAGGTAGTTTGTAAATTGCCTGAAACCTACATGTAGAAATTATCGCATTGTATGTTTTGTTATGTATATTTTTCACCACAGTTAAAAAAAATCTAAAATATATGCTTGCTTACTTTCCCATGTTTCCATGGGAGAATTAAAAACTACATCCAAAGTGCTTTGAACAAGATGAGAAACCTGTTATTCAAAGTAACCACTGAACCTGATTGAAATAAGGTAAGAGAATTGTGGCTGGGAGTCAGCCCTGGCCCATAATTTCTTTCCAATCTAAGATATGAAGTCCAAACCCTTTCCTATCTCCTGTCATAGCACTGGCTCCCCCGTGTCCCCTCCCTGAACTTAGCTAAGACCATACCCTTCAGCTCCCAATCCCCTTAGGAAAAAGTGTTTGAGAACTAAGAAAACAATAATTTCAACGCTTTTGGAATTTCATAAATTAGAGATGCCATGTAAACATGACATATGATTAATGCAATCAATATGTTATACTTGTGGGGGGGGTTTCTTCAAAATGCACAGAGTATGTATCTTGCAATTTAGTCTGTGAACATAAAAAATGATTTTAATTAGGCACTGACAATAAAGAGGTGAAAATGAAATATATTAAATCAATAAGCTTTACCTTTCTAAGAACTTACATATTATAAAAGAAAATGTATTACAATTAATCCAACAAAAGTATAGTTGGTACATAATTTGGGGAGAATTAATCCTGTTTGTGATGAATTACATCAGTAGCATTTCTTCAAGTATTCGATTAAATACTAATATAAAGAGTTAAAATAATTCTGTCTATAAAATAACTTCCAAAAGCCCTTAAATGAAAAACAATTCATAAAATATTCCACTAGTTTGATAGACAAATGCAGCATATTTTTAAAGCAGTGTTCGTTTTTGATTTCCCAAAACTGAAGTAGCCAACTCTTTAGTATTTCAGGATAGAATTTCAAAAGATTGCTATTTAATACAATTGTAGTGATCTTTTATTTCTTCACCCATGGTCAGAAATCTCAATTACTTGATAACCCTGCTTCAGAACTTGGCACGCAATAGAAGATCCAGGCTCATAAGATGGAAATTTGGATATCAGAGATGTTCAACTTGACCAGCTTATTACAGATGCATTCCTGCAGTGGACCTTTGTGAACCCTGGTTAGGTAGTGGTTACGGAAACCACATGGTCAGCAGTTCAAAACCACCATCAGCTCCGAGGGAGAAAGACTGGGCTTTCTACTCCTGTAAAGTTATAGTCTCACAAACCCATCGGGGTCCCTGTGAATCAGCACAGATTTGATGGCAGTGAGTAGATCTTATCAAAAGAATAGTTTTCTTTGCTATTAGAGACGAGAGCAGAAAATGTATCCTGAAAGATAAATAAATAATAAGACTTGAGCAACTCTCTCACATCCATCTCTAACTAGTTGCTTTCTGTAAATTGTCTGCTCTAAGACTCACTCCCTGGGCTGAGTGTTACTGCGTATGTGATTCCAAAATACAGTACCCTAGAGCTGCACATCAAGTGTGGTCCTGAGACTAGCAATGTCTGCATCACCCGCGAGCTTGGTGAAATGCACAATTTTGGACCTACCTCAAATCTTCTCATCAGCGTCTCTGGGAGTGGGGCCTAGAATCAAGTGTGTGTTTTAAATTCTCCAACGGATTCAAATGCTTGCTGCGAGTTTTAGAAGGACCTGAAACAAAATGGGATCGCGTTGGCAACATATTTATATATATTTAACCCCACCCCCTTGGTCCCATCTCTGATTTAATTAATCTAGAGGTAAGCATAAAATAGACCCTTAAGCTTACAGGTGATTCTAATGAGCCATTAGGTCTGTGGAACATTTCTCTAGCTCAGTTGATGATAAAGTGTGTTCACCAGACCAGGAACATGAGCATTGCTTAGGCTATTGGAGGAAATTTGAAATCTCAGGCTGCATCCCAGACCTGTCAAATAAAATATTGTGGAAGTGGAACTTTTCAATACAGGCTTTCATCATCGTCCAGGTGATTCTTATCATAGCTCCAGTTTAACAATATCTACGGTTGTCCTTGAAGGCATAAGGCTTTTGAGCTGGGTGGTCTTGGGCCTGATCACTGAGCTCCATTTCTTTCCTCATGAAAATGGGACACTGCATACCTGCCCATTCACTGCCATCTAGTTGATTCTGACTCATAATGGCCTTAGAGGGCAGAGAAAACTACTTCATAGGGGTTCTTAGACGAAGTGCTTGTGGAACCAGACAGCCTCATCATTCTCTGGAGGATCAGTGGGTGAGGTTGAGTGGCCAACTGTGATAGTTAGGTTTATTGTGCCAACCTGGCCAATAGGAGCATGTGGGCCTAATCAGTCGGTTTGATTGGAGGGCAAAAAGATCAATGGCTCTACAAGGCCCACCCGCTTCTCCTGCTCTCTGGTGAGTGGACCAGCTTACTGCTGCTCTAGCAAGTTCTCTGCCTCAACCAGTGAGCTACACGACCTGTGGACCAAGCAAACTTGTGGCCCCTGTTGCTGGAGCTTGAGGCTCCTTGGAGGCCTGCTTCACCACACTGCTGGTGCGTACATTGCTTGAGCTTGAGGATGGTGGATCCTGTCTCCTTGCATTGCTGAAGTTCCATATCCCATCCAGGCCTGCTTCGCTAAACTCCCAAGCTACTGACTATTGTTTGTCTACTCTGCTGTTTGCTGCCTGTGGACAGACTGCCTACCTTGCCCAAAGGAGTCCTCCGCTATCTGCTTCCTTGATCTTGGACCCCGCAGCCCACATGAGTCGAAGGATTTCTAGTATATTAACTGTTCCACAAAAGTGATTTGAACTGAGCCCTCTGTACTGCTGTGTGGACTGATTAACTGTTATATTTTGACTCGCTGTATATATATATATTATATATATATAAAGTCATAAGTGTCCTGTTTTTTTTTCTCTAGAGAACCTTGCCTAACACCAACCTTTCCGTTTTCTGACCAGTGCTTAACCCACTGTCCCACCACCGCTCCTCCTAAATTTCCTTGGTGATGGCTGTATCGCTCCCAAGATGAACATCAGTATCACACATGACAGGATTTTGTGGAGGCTATAGTGGTGGACCCAAGCAAAATAGTAGTTATAGTAGTTATCGCTGTATTTACTGAGCACTAACCAGAGTGCAGGGATCGCTGATGGCATAGTGCGTTACATGTTGGGCTACTAACCACACGGTTTATTTCAAAGGGGAGGGCAGACATGGAAACAGTCATACCCAGGGGGAGGCTGAATGTGAGGGTCCTTCTACAAATCAAGGAGACCAAGAAACATCCAGGATTACCAGCAGCTGAAAGAAACAAGGATGGGTCTTCCCTTGGAGCCCACAGTGAGAGCAATCTCCTGTGGTCCTTGAACTTACGACTGGCACCCTCAGGAATGGTGAGAACACACCTTTCTGTCCTTTTAAGCCATCTGCTTGTTGGTATCTTGTTGGCAGCCCAAGGTAAATGAGATCGCCCCTCCCTTTGTACTTAGACTTAGGGTTCTGATACTTTCTCTGATATTTCTCTTTCACTACTGGTTTCTGAGAATAATCTCTCTCCACTTATGGGCCATTGTTACCAGGTGTTCCTGCATTGCTTTCCAGTGCCCTAATCTGTCTCCCCCACCCGACATCCTTGTCTCCCCTTTTCCAAAATCTACCCATGGTCCAGACTTGATATAGCAAAATCTGTCCCACACACTGACTGGCTCTGATGAGCCGATCCCTGTGGGTGTGGGAGCAGCTTTTCAACTCTGACCTGTTTATCATGTCTGGACTGTTTATAGCTTTGGAGCCCGCAACAGCCCCTGACCTTGCTAACGTGGCCCTGTACCAGAGAGCCTCCACTCGTATAAAATTCAAGGCCTAGTCTTATAACTGTGAAATGAAACAGATAGCCATAAATTGCACATTGGGCTCAAGAAACCGTTTTCAGCTGGATTGGGGCATTTCAGACCCTCACTTCCCAAGCAAATAACATCTATATGTGACAGACGGATGAGAAGTCATCCACCAGGGAAACATATAAACATGACCTGTTCTAGAATGCCCTCATGCAAACACAGGTTGTTCACACTGCCTTTATGCACAGGATGCATATCTGATGACTGCGATCAGACAGGAACCTAGTCAATTAAATTTTAGGGATGCTACATTGTGAGTCTTTATGTCTTCTGAGAAAAGCAGCGTAGCTGGTGGCCTTCCTCTTTGCCACTGTTGCTCCTGCTCCATCTCCTTTCCACCCCCCCACCCAAACACTCAAGGTTCTTATATTAATTTAACCATAATAATAATAATCTTTATTAATTTAATTAAGTTAACCAGGACCCTGGGGGAAGGCAGAGAGGATGTCTTACGACATAAAGTGACCATTTCTGCAAATCCTTGGGAAAGATGGGATATGTGAAGGTCCCGATAGGATCTAGTATCTTTGAAACATGGCTCCCCAAAAGGAAAAACAAACACACAGGAAACAAAACTATAAGCACAAAACAAGGAAACCAGACTGCCCCCTTTTCAGAAATTACTCCTACTCTCGCTGGCGCCTGACTGAGAGAGCGTCAGACCACTTCTGAGAGAAAGGAAGGCAGTATCTGGCTACTGAAGGAGGAAGTTGAGCCACATGCTTGAAAATTGTAAGGAAGAAACGACTGTGAATGAGCCTTTCACTCCACCCAGTCTCCATTGGGGGCACAGGGGAGTGAAGTCTAGCTCAACATCTAAAAGGTGGCAGCAAAAGCCACAGCATAAAGCCAGCAGTATCCAAGGCTGATTAACCCCTGGACCAATTGGAACGGCTTACAAGTCTTTGTTCTTGCTGTTGGGCGCTGTGCATTCTTTAATCCTCATGAAATCTTTTACCTGAAACCCTGGAGGTAGACAAAAATATGTGTGCTCACATCCTCCGTTTCAAAATCTCCCTTCTAGCAGCAGAGCTGGTGTGCAACCCCGCTGCGTGTTCCAGCTGGCATTTTATAATCTCTGTGAACTCTGAAGTTCAGACACCACCAAGCTGGATACACATAGCTGTGACATAGCACGCATTCCTACAACAGATAACAGATCTTTAAGTCAGTGGTTTCTTCCTTTGCTCCTTTCTGGGGACAGAAATAAAAGTTGAGATATACCTTTAACATGATCATTTTAAACTAAGTATAATAGAGATGATTTTAAAGTAATGTGACCAGATTTTAACATTGGTAAAGCGGGACAAAAGCAGGACACCATTGATAAAACTCATATCCTGGTGAAATAGCCACATGGCAGCCAAAAACCGTATACCCTGGCTTGTCGTGCATTCTTTCCAAAAATCGGGACTTTTTAAAAATGCCACAAGACGCAGGAAAAGTTGTTAAAAATCGGGACTCTCCCGCCAAAAGCAGGACGTCTGGTCACCTTACCTTAAAGATTCACATGCCGTTGTAAGAAATACACAGAGCGATCCTGTGTACGCGTTGCCAAGTTCCCCAGTTACCACAACATGGGAACAATAGGGATTCCAGAACACTTCGTCGTGCTCATGCAGAACCTGTGCCTGCACCAAGAGGCGATCTTTGAAGAGAACAAGGAAATTCTTCATGCGTTCAAGCCAAGAAAGGTGTACCTCAGGACTGTACCCTTCCACTCCGCAGAATCATCATCAGAGGAGCTGACTATATGAAGCGGAATGTACCATCAGGATTGAACCAGTGCTTATTAACAACCTGCGGATGAACCAGCCTTGTTTACTGGAAGCCAAGAGGACTTGAAGCACTCGCTGATGAACATCAAGGACTATAGGCTTCAGTATCAATTACAGCTCATTGTAACAAAACCAAAATCCGCACAACTGAACCAAGAGACAACATGATAAACAGAGAAAAGTTTAAAGTGGTCAAGGATTTCATTTTACTTGGATCCACCATCAATGCTCACGGAAGGAGCAGTCAAGAGATCAAAGAACACATTGCGTTGAGCGTGCGCACAAGACATCTTTAAGGTGTGAACGGGCAAAGGTGTCGCTCTGAGGACTAAGGTGAGCCTGACCCAAGTCAGGATATTGTCAGTCGCTGCTTCTGCAGGTGAAAGCAAGACCATGCAGAAAGAAGATGGAAAGAGCAATGCCTTTGAATTACGCTGAAGGCTATGCGGAGTGCCATGGGCTCCCACAGCAACAAACCATCTGTCTGGGGGGTAGCGAGGAGTGCAGCCCGGCGATCCTTAGAAGCAAACATGGCAAGACTTCATCTTGATGTGGGTGCAGAACTGAGTGGACCCACTTTGTAAGTGTTGGCCCATGTTCACTCTTTCCCCTTGACCAATTAGTGGCCAGCCCCCACACCTAAGGACTACTGCTGAATGAAGAAAAGCAGTTTCTTGTAACTTCTGCAAGATAAAAAAGAGCCGAGTAAATTCTCTTTTATCACAAACTGTCTGCCGGCAGAGCAAAATTCAGTGTCTGTTACCTCACTCTGAGAGTCACACCAAACGGAGCGGACCAAGCCTAGAAAGTAACCAAGTAATGCAACCAAGATACGTAAAAAAGACCACAGAACAGAGAGCCTTTGTCCCCACTGCCCACATCTTATCCAAGCTACATAAAAGCCTTTCCCATTTCCACTTGGGGAGACAGCCTTTTGGAGGGTCCATAATATATATGTCCTCTTTCAATATATATTAAAACATTATTGATCTCAACACGCCT